CTGATATTAAATTAGACTTTTTTCCCCATGTTAAACTAAAATAAAATTTAAAAATCAGTTAATTTTTTTTTTTTTCCAGTGGCCCTAATCTTCTTCCGCACCTTTTACAGGCTATATAGTCTGTAGATATAAAAGCAGTTAAATGATTTACATTTTTAACCAAAAATGCCATTTTATTATTTTTTTTTGTCTTCAATAACTTTGTAAAGTATTACAGGCCTTATGGAGATCAAAGTCTGGTGGTCAGTTTAGAGGTATGATGGGATTAAAAGGTTTTAATGGGAGGGTTAAGGATGTACTGTTAATGCTTTGGGTAAATGTCACGGTGTTCTGCCTAAATGCACGACTGTATCTAAATAATTTTTACTTGTGTTTCAGGGATGAGATCTATTGTCAGATCTGCAAACAGCTCACTCAGAACCCGTCCAAGAGCAGCCACGCCCGAGGGTGGATCCTCCTGTCTCTTTGTGTCGGCTGCTTTGCTCCCTCCGAGAAGTTTGTCAAAGTAAGAAAGCTTTAGAGTCAAATGAGCAAATCCTTTTCCTCTTGTGTTTTTTGTGTGAAAGTTTATTGTATGACAAAAAAGATTGAATATTGTTAAGGTATTTGTAAGAAACTTAAGTTTTTTTTCCCTTTTTTTTTTTTTTTGATAAAGTTTTGATGCATTCCTTTTTAGTTTCTAAGCTACTTTCTGCAACCCTTAGGTAGAGAAATATCTTCATTCTATATGCCTGGAAATAATTAAACCTGCTTGTAAAACGTTAAATTAAAGCAAACAAATATGGCTAATCTCAGTAGATGCAAAAACCAGGTTAATTTGAAAATAACTTCTAGTAAAAAAATTAGAAAATGTGTATCTTATTTTTAATTAAATCGACCATTAAAGCTGACCAAAAACAGCTAAACCAGTAGAAGTAAAAAAACAAAAAAAAGGGTAAATATATATTCCAGAAAACGTGAATTGTTTTTGCTGCTGTTTCGTTTTTTCAGTATTTACGGACCTTTTTGAAAAACGGTCCTCCTGGTTATGCTCCGTACTGTGAAGAGAGGCTGAGGAGGACCTTTGTGAACCGAACGAGAACACAGCCGCCATCCTGGCTGGAGCTGCAGGTACGTGGCTGCAGGTGGCTGTTTTAACCCTCCAGCAGCGTTTAAAACTAAAATATGTTCCAGTTTGAAACTATAAGCTGATTTAATTATTTAAATACAAGGGTTTTATGTTCAAAAAGTGTAGAAGTTCGTCCTATGGGGCGCCTTTTGTAAAGTTAAGCAGTCAAAATTAGGAGGAATATTTATGGTTATTTAGCACATTTTAAGAAAGGAGTTTATTTATTTTCCAAGTCATTTTTTCACTATGTCATTCATTCATTTATAAAAGTCTTACTTCTTCAAAATAAATATTTAGTTTGGAGCTAAATATTTAGTTTTCAAATTAAATATTTAGTTTGTTAAATACATTTTCCAAAATGATTTGGAAAAAAAATAACCTCCTTATTTTTCTCTTAAAACACGCTAAATTACTATAAATATTGCTCCTAATTTTTGACTGCTTAACTTTTCAAATTGCGCCCCATATTATCCAGAATCTGGAATTAGATAAACTGACTTATGTTTCAAGCACTTAAAGCTACAATGGAGAACAAGTGTCAGCAAAATGCTACTGTTGTAGAAAGCTTGAAAGCACTGCACCTAAATCATCAGCTAACGTGTCATAAATAAAAGCTATAAATTAGCAGGTTGTCTAATTAGGTTAGTTGTGTTTATTTTTGGGGGGATTCTTTCAGGCCACCAAGTCTAAGAAGCCCATCATGCTTCCTGTGACCTTCATGGACGGCACCACAAAGACGCTGCTGGCGGACTCCGCCACCACAGCCTTCGAGCTCTGCAATGCTCTAGCAGACAAAATCAACCTGCGCAACCGTTTTGGCTTCTCTCTGTACATCGCCCTGTTTGATAAGGTATGATGTTAAAGGGTTGCAGGAACGTATTCACTGTGATGTGCTGGCGAAGGCTCTCAGTCATCCAGGTCATAGTCATTCCAAAAAAGTAAAAAATCAATCCACTGGACTTAGTTTCCAAGTTTGAAGACGTTTCTCTTCCCATCCAGGAAGCTTTTTCCATTAAAAATGTCAAAAATGGCGTTGAGTTCAAGGCTTTATAGAGTGGACCTTATTTTGGCTGAGAAAACAAGTAAATTGAACCTAATGAGCGGGTCCAACCCTTTGGAATGGGGGTAGTTTTGTTTCTTTGTTAGCCTGTAATACACAAAACCTGTCTATGTCCCTTAAACAGGGGGTTGTTAGAGGGAATTGTTGGCCTGGCTGAAGAGGCGAGGTTCTCTGGTCCCCTGTATGGGGTGGAGGTTGCAGGGATTAAAGTATTCCGGCCCCAGGCCAGATTTCCAGCTCATAGCGTTTGCCTGTGGGTAAAAAAAAATCACGTGAAGATAAATTGACCATCAAAATCCCTCTTGCATTTGTCAGCCAATGGTGGCAAAGGAACGCTCTGAAACTAATAGTGTTAGCCAATCAAAAGAAGAAGGGGGCGGGTCTTAGGAACGCCTGAACTTCCTCCTAACGTTTCTTGCTAAGGTCGCCAGATACATTGTGTTGCAGTGCTGAAATTCTACACGGACAGTCACCTTGCGTCGTTTACGGCTCCATTCAAAGGAGAGATGTGTAAAAAGTCAGAAAATAAATAAATGAAACTTTGTGTTTGGAGAGAAGAACGATAGACAGAACGGAATTGCATGGAGTGGGCACAATGCAGGTCATGAACTCTGGGGAAGATATCACGACCATAGATAAAGGTTTAAAAAAATAAATGGCGCTGGGCATGGCTGGAGGAAACAGGGCAAGATGGCGAGCCATTCAGCAGCTGGTGCAGGAAGTTAGATGAACCAGGCGCTTGCTTCGCACACTTCTACTTCACTTAGCAGCAAAACTGGATATTAAAAGAAATGTGGTTCATGCAAGCAGTAGATATAGATGCACTTTAGCCATGTTCTGGCCGCTTTTGATATTGGATCAAAAGTCAAATTTAGTCTTTGATCAGCCATTTAATCTCTGATCCCGTGCCCCCACACCCCCCTGGCATGGCTTGAAAATAAACACAAATGCAGAGATGTGCATGTAGAGTATATATATATATATATA